TTGTGAAGTAATCCAGCTGTATGTACACTTAAGATTTATGCACTTCCCCATATGCATGTTAATATCTCTAGAAGGACAGCCAAGGCAACAAAAAAGAAGACATAAAAAGTTTAATATACATACAACACCTATTACTTCTGTCTCTCTAATCCATTTGGCTTGTTATCTACTAAAGCAAAGCAAATGCTCTTTTCAGAATCAAGTTAGCTTTTCTTAGAATTGTTGAGTTCAAGAGTCACTAATTTTGTTAGAAAAAAAGTTTAACTTCCCTAATAACTTTGTTAGGGTACTGCGTGTCACTCCCAAATTTTCTTCCTCCCACTCCGACTTTTAAAGATGGACTCCACATTTATGTCAGTCTTTTTCTAATCTTTCAAAACTTTTCTTGCCCTTCCTAAGTTTGTAATTCACCATCTGAATTATAGCAAATACCTCTCACGTTATACTATTAGGACATTTACTGAAAATAGTAAACACAGTTGTAAGTCTATTTTCTGTGAAAATAAAAAATTCTGAGATTCCATAGTAAGATCCCTATTTAAATAAAGTCATCTTCCACAAGATTTGTAAATTATATCCATCGTGCCAGAAGTATTTTTTTAAACCTCAAGAACAGCAAACAAGTCATATCATGAATGAAAGGCACAAAGCACACATGATGTATTTATCCCACACAAAAGAGCCCAAGACCTTGTATTTAAAAATCAATTGATAAATTCAAACATCAGCACAATAGATAATCATTACATTTAAACCTCAATGCTGTTATCCAATATTTGATGAGCTATCTTTTGAAAAGAGACTCATTTTTGTCAATCTTTTTTTTTTTTTTAATGGAAAACTGCCAGGATCAGAGTAGACTATGAAATTTCAAAGTATTCTTTTTCCCTAAAGTTTATTTATTTTGAGAGAGAGACAGCATGTGCATGAGCGAGGGAGAGGCAGAGATTGGGGGGGGGGGGAATCCTAAGCAGGTGCCATGGTGTCACTGCAGAACCAAACGCAGGACTCAATCCCATGAACCGTGACATCGTGACCTGAGCTCAAAATCAAGAGTCAGACGCTTAACTAAGCCATCCATGCGCCCCTCAAAGTGTATGTAGGTGTGTGTATGTATGCTAAAATATTATGCATCTTAAGTTTTAACTTTTATATTCTTAACTTATGAATTTTGGACATCTGTTCTAAAGGATTAGGCATCCAGGGTCCCTGGGAGGCTCAGTAGGTTGAGCATCTGACTTCAGCTGGGGTCATGATCTCAAAAATCATGAGTCTGATCTCCGTGGTGCACTCTGCGCTGACAGCTCAGAGCCTGGAGCCTGCTTCAGATTCCAGGCACCAGGGCTTCCCTTCCCTCTCTGTCTCCCTTTCTCCCACCAACACGCCTTCTCTTTTCGGTCTCTCTCTCAAAAATAAACATAAAATTGGGGTGCCTGGGTGGCTCGGTCATTTAAGCATCCGACTTGACTCGCTCAGGTCATGATCTCACGGTCCGTGAGTTGAGCCCCTGCTGGGCTCTGTGCTGACAGCTCAGAGCCTGGAGCCTGCTTCAGATTCTGTGTCTCCCTCTCTCTCTGCCCCTCCCCCGTTCATGCTGTCTCAAAAATAAATAAACGTTAAAAAAAATTTTTTTTTTAAAAACATAAAATAATTAAATAAAAATAAAAGATTAGGCGTCCTAAATTTCCTTCTCTACTCTGCTTTGCAAAACAGGCAAAACCAATGTTCTCTAGATAAATGCTTCTTGAATAAAAAAAATCTGTTCACAGAAGCCAGTGTGAGAAATAGGAAAGTAGTAGTAATAGACACATTCTAACAAAGTCATTCTTGGGGGATAGTTCCCATAATGAACTACTTTGTTCAAGTTTGAATCAGCTGGGTTCATTCAAAATTACTTATCTTTGGGGCGCTTAGGTGGCTCAGTCAGTTAAGCATCTGACTATTGATTTCAGCTCAGGTCATGATCTCATGGTTCGTGGGATCGAGCCCCACAATGGGCTCTGTGCTAACAGTGTGGAGCCTGCCTGGGATCCTGTCTCCCTCTCTTTCTCTCAAAAATAAACACTAAAAAATTTTTAATTTTAAAAACTTTTTAAAAATTACTTATCTTTATTTATATAATCTTTGAATACCAGGGATATAACAGGTACGTACCAGAATATACCAAGAGATGGACTTTGACTGCTAACTACAGGTCAGGGTAACTACACAGTGAAATGTGCATACTGCTTTCTGAGCAACATCTGGTCTTCTCTTCCATATTCAGAAAGTGAGACTCTTCATAAGCTCCAAATGTTAGTTTCTTTCTTTTCTTACGATTAAAAAGAATGATCCAGAATCTTCTACATGGTGACTCTCTTTACTTAGTCCTCTGGCTATTCTAATATTATGGAGCCGTGTAATGCTGTAGTTTTCAAACTGTGAGCAGTGAGAGTCATGATGTCATTTTTTAGTAGGTTTAACTAACGTTAAAAAAAAAAAAACGAGAAAAAAATCAGTACATTGTACATGAAGGCTAAGTATTGTTTTGTGAATACCGTTACAAAGAGTTATGTATGTGTATGTAATATTTTGTATACCTATACGCTTATCAGGTGGTGATATAAAATATTAAGAAAAAATACGGAGTTGTGGTCGCACTTCAAAGGCCACAGATATAATGAGCTTTATTATATTTTTATTAATTGTTACATATGGAGTCTCAACAAAATAATTCTTAATTCAGAAGTTATGTTAACCTTTAAGGCTAGACACCACGTAAAGATAATTCTGCTTAGTTGAAAGCAGCAATTTCTTAGAATAGATCAACAAACTCTGGCAAAACAGACTGCCTGGTTGATATATCAATATATACGTGTTGGAGATAAGGATGAGACCGAAAGCAGAACGGTGTTTCTACACATAAAGAATTAGCTTTCAGCTACCTGCAACCTACTGGGGTTCAGCAAGTTAGTATACATAGTAAGCCACTATGGCAGCAAGTATCCATTTACAACATGAAATTAAAGAGGAAATGAAAGCAAATCTAACTTCAATTAGATAAACTTAAAGATTTCACTACCAATTTCCCATAAGGCATACTGCCCACATCTGAATTTCTCAGAATATACATTTTGTTTTTAAGTTTATTTATTTTGAGAGAGAAAGCACGTGTGCAGGCTCCACACTCTTAGCACAGAGCCTGACACAGAGCTTGAACTCACAAACCATGAGATCATGACCTGAACAAAAATCAAGAGTTCAATGCTTAACTGACCTAGGTGCCCCTCAGGAAATTAATTGATACAAGGACCTCAATGAACACATGCACTGAACACACTACGGTGTGTTTGAATACACATATGGGAAGGCATATGTGAGTGTTAAGTAAGATGCAAGTATCTACGTAAGAATACATAATAAACTCTTAAGAAAATGGTGCTTTCTGTACCAAAAATAAAACTAGCAACTATTTATAACTAGAGTAATAAAAAACTACCAAACGTAGGTGAAATCAGTCAATAGGAAGTTAAGCAACTCTTTATCAGACAGTATCTCACTAATAGAAGTCACCCTGCCACCACTGACTACATTATTCCAGTAGGACCGGAATCTAATTCTACTGTCTGTTTTACATTACCAGTCTTATCTCCAGAGTCCAAAAAAGCACATAGAGCAATGCTTGAGAAACCAATTGGGGAAACAGAGATCATATGGGTTCTTCAGTGTACAGGAGGCAAATACCATATTCAACCAAAGAATATCAGGCATTCAATAGCAATTAACTATAAGACTAATGACCCATTAAATTTTCTAGAGGACACAAGGATAATGCCATGCCTTCTAAACTTTTAATTCTGTTGGAGGACTGTAACATATAAATATATAAATCTCTTCTCAAAATTCTCCAGTGTTACCCATTTCATTCAAAATAAAATCCAAATCCTTGCAGTAACTGATGGTGTCCCTTATGATATGGACCTACATGTATACCCTTATGTTCTGTCACTTTCTCCCTTACTATTCTACAATGGCCAAAACAATTATATGAAAAGGTATTCAACATCATTATTTTTCATGGAAATAGAACTTAAAATCACAACAAGATCACACTGCAAATTGAACAAAATGGACTGACAATATCAGGTACAGGCAAGGATGATGAACAGTAGCACACTTCTCACATTGCTTGTGGGAGTATAAATTCCTAAAACCATTTTGAAAAATTTCTAAAACCATTTTGCTGTTTGGCAGTGGCTACTAAATCTAAACCTACATATACCTGATGATATAGCAATCTCATTCCTGGATATAAACCCCAAAGAAATGAGTGCTTACATTTATCAAAAGACATGTACAAGAATATGCATTGCACTTTTATTTACAATAGCCCCAAAATGGAAGCAACCTAAATATCCACCAACAGTAGTACAGGTTAATAAATTGTGGTCTATTCAGACAATAGAATGCTTCATGGTATTAAAAAGAAATGCTATAATACAACATGGATGAATCACACAATATTAAGGGAAAGCAGCTAGACATAAAAGTGCACATACTGGGTAATTCCATTTACATTAAGGTCAAGAACACAGGTAAAAATAACCTATGATGAAAGAATAGTTGGTTTGTTCTGAACTAGAGGTATCAAATGGAAGATGTCTGAGGCAGACTTCTGGGTGCTGGAAATGTTCTATACCTTAATCTAGGTATAATTTAGTAGTTACACAAGTGTATACACATGAATAAATTTAAAGAGTTGTATATTTAATATCTGTGCGCTTTATAATAAAATTCTATACAAAATACACATTAAATATACACATATGCATAGACACATGATACACACACACACACACACACACACACACACCATCAATATATTAAATTATAACTCAGTACACTGCTTCCTCTGGAAATTTTGGGTTCATCAGGCCCTCACTTACTTTATTATTACTTTTAGTGATGCAAAGGAAAGGGGAGTACTAACATGGATAAGTGATGGTGAAATAATTGCTTACCTTTAACAAAGGGCAGCTGCAAAGGTTGGGAAAGGAGAGTGGAAAATTAACCCCAAGAAGGAAATCCTTGTTTCTCAGATATCTCTGCTGGCTTTCCCCTTCTGGCTCTCCCCAGGAGCGCAGCTGATGGAGCCTGTAGGAGGCTTTCAGAGACAGGAAAAGAGCTAACCATCTGAAACAAACCACAGCAGACATGCTTATTCAGTGCTCCATGGAGGTTTGAGGGTAGTTCATAGCAGCGAGGAACCTTGTCTTTCATTCACATGTCTCTTTTGTAAATCTTGAACATTTACAAACAGTTCTTTCCTTCTTTCAGATAAAGCTGTTTCGTACTTTTCTTCCATAAATTCTATCTTTGGCATGACTTGGTTTGCTACTATGAAAACTAAAATCCTCCGTAAAGCTCCTCGTTTAAAGAATATTTAACTTTATCACAAAAATTCTATTATAAAAACATCCTCATATCAGGGAAATAGTCTTTTCTAACAAGGTCACTATTTATTATGTAAATACAAAATAATAACATTAAGTGAAAGCCATTATTCCAGAGAAAAAAAATATAGAACTAAATTTCCCAGAAGACTTAAGGTAGGCTATGCTGCAATCACTACTAACTAAAGGACTCAATGGCCATTATTTGCCCTGTGGAAGCAAATACAATATACTAAACTAACTAGAAATTAAGACGACTTAAAGACCTTCTGGTAGCATTTGGGGGAGGGGGAAGCCTAAATAATTTTTATATAAGGTATATTATGAAGTATCATGCAATTATTAAATGACCAAAGAAAATTAGAACTCCCTTATAACAATTTTTACCCTTAACAAGAAAAAAAAAAGCCTCGTTAAGATGATATAATATTAAATGTTTAATTTCACAGTCCAACCTCTCTCCCTATTTATCCCCAACTGCTCTGTCATCAAATTAAGCAAACTTCTCACCTGGCCAAAAGTCCCTGAAGCATAAGGTTTGCCATTTCTGCTGGCGATACATCGATAAAGCGAAGGAAGGAGAAACAGCTTTCTTCATTAACACCTGGAATATCAAAGGACAAAGTTAAACCCAATAGCGAGCAAGTCAACTAAAGCCTACTGAACTGCTGAGTTTTTATTTAAGAACGAAAAGATATCCAAAGGTTTTGTCTCAGCCACTACGATGTAAGTCACAGCATCATATTTTTGTATTACAATCACAAGTGGGAGAGGCAGACCTATGAGATATGGCATACAATGGGGCAGAATGGAGCTGGCTCACTGGCTACCTTTCGGCTTTTTGGTAGCTTATCTAATTGCTTTTCTCTTTTTATCATGGCAGGAGAAAGATAAGTACAGAGCTGAAGATTCTGAACCTTTGCCTTAATACTCTAGATAATGCTCAAAGCTGAGCTGCTCCTTTCCCTTAGACTAAGCAGGAAGGAACTAAGTCACATTAATGATAGTCCTGCATTGTCTCTGTCAAGTTTCAAGGGTTTAAGAAAGTCTTTAAGAGGCAGGTAAAAAATAAAGGTGGAAGGTCAATGTAATAATTTTTTATTGCTTCCTGTTATAGCCACAAATCATAGCATCTACAGATGAAGACAACTAATTTACTTAAAGTTTATCAAGACTTCATAAATACAGACCCAGCAAGTAGGCAAAACCATTACTAGTTGCAAATCGGTCACTCAGCAAATCAAAGAGCATTCTGGCAAATCCCTGGTATATTTTCCTGCTCAAATATTAAAATACCCACCTTTTCTGTGAAAGAGAGACTGTTGGATATAGTCTGGTGCAAATGGAGAAAGAAGAACCCTTAACCACCTGTGAAGTAAAATAAAATGAATCCAAACTCATTATAAATACTGGGAAGTTAACTAGAGGTTCAAAACTAAAGAGAATCTTTTAGATTTGAAACTGCTTCTACTTTTAAGAGGTTTGTTGCCATATTACCAGACAGAAATCATGGCATAAATGTCAGAAAGTACTAAGTAATTAATATTCATATAAAAAGGTAATACAAGTTCAAAATCGTCTCATTTTATTTCAGGGAATCACAATTCAAAGCTGTAAGTTACCACATACTACACAAAACAGTACTACAGCTCTGGTATGTTTCCCGTTTCTCCCCACCTATCTAGTTGAATAAAAAGCCTGGAGTTAACACAAAGAATTCTAAACCCAAGATGGGGTGCCTGGGTGATTCAGTCAGTTAAGCGTCCAACTTCGCCCCAGGTCATGACCTTGTGGTTTGTGAGTTTGTGAGTTTGAGCTCTGCACTGGAATCGCTGCTGTCAGCGTAGAGCCCATTTCAGATCCTCTGTCTCCCTCCCTTCTGACCCTCCTCACTCACACTCTCTCAAAAATAAACATTAAAAAAAAATTAAACCCAAGAAATGTGCCTCAACTTCAGTTTCATTAGACTAAATATTGTTGATAATTATTTTGATAATGCTGCTTATATTGTTCTTCTACAAAATGAACTTTCTAAAACCATGCTTCTTAAATGTGGATGTGCTTAAGCATCCATTGGGAGCTTGTTAAAAAATCCAGAAGCTAAGGCTACTCTCACTCACAGGTGTAGAACTGACCCATGCAAGTATTTTCTGAATAGAACTGGCATATTATATTAACAACCACTTCACCCTTACCAAATTTGTCATTGCTGATTCCGGGAGGAAGGTAAATTAATCTGAAATCCAATCAGTTTTCCCACACCAAGTGTAAAATAAAACACACAAAATAATCTCAGTACTGAGGCAGAGAACTTTGGTGACCTCTCTTGGTTCAAGTACATATTCACTCACACACACACACACACACGTTCCACATTCAGAAAGGCATCTCGAAGTGTCTAGAAACATTAGGTCAACCAGTTAAACCCTTGATATTGTACAGATTACTATCATAGTATCCATCAATAAATAGCTGTCCACCCTTTGCTTAAATACCTCATTGTTAGGGAACTCAAACACTCTCCAGTAAAACCCCAAAAGCACTAAGCCACAAAACCCCAACTTACAAAAACACCCTTAAGCACCCTTAATATTAGTATTTTTGCTCACCTGTCTCGTGAATGGTTGAAAACCCTGATCTGTCCATGACGGTAGATAAACTTTGAAATCTGGTATGGCTTTAGGGAAATATGAAATGGAGACCAAGTTTCTTGTCGTTCAAATAACTCTGGGTGATTACACACCTAAGAGGAAGGGAAGCGATAAGACACCACTGTCATGTACACACATCATTCTAGGAATCATGGGGAATCCCAAAGCCTGAATGTTTACCTTTATGAATATATGCTTTCTCATTTCATCTCTTTTTAACAGGCTTTGTTTATTTGGCATCAAAGTTAGAGCCTTTTTCTTGAAATGAGTTAATGAAGACAACTCCAAGGCAGCTGACCTAAAATCTTACCTTCCTAAACTGCATGACCAGATTCATGAGGCTGCTGGTGGTGGTCTGTGCTTGCTGGGTAGAGCCCATAGAAGACTGCAATAAGTCTTCAATAGAAATTTTGTTCTTGAGTGCCTGATATAGCAGCTTCTGTCGGCTGGTTAGTTGGCAATACATTAGAATCTCAATCTGAAAATCAATAAGGACATATATATATTGAAAAACTATAAGAAAATTCAGTATCAGCATAAAGTTGAAAACACATACAAGCCAGATTATGGCTGAAAATATACATACCTCTATAAACTCAGTCTCTCTCTATGAGCCTGTCATGTGGCTAATTATCCAGAAAAATATTCTTTCTTTGACACTTTTCCCTGTCACTCACTCTACATGTTGTCCCTGGGCAATCTCTTCCATTTCCAAATAGCACCAACTCTGACCACTGCAGTGACTTGCAAAAACATATTTCCAAACATCCCCAGCCCCATATTTTCTTTTTTTTAAAAAAAATTTTCTTTAACGTTTATTTATTTTTGGGACAGAGACAGACAGAGCATGAATGGGGGAGGGTCAGAGAGAGAGGGAGACACAGAATCTGAAACAGGCTCCAGGTTCTGAGTGGTCAGCACAGAGCCTGACGCGGGGCTTGAACTCACAAACCGCGAGGTCATGACCTGAGCCGAAGTCGGACGCTTAACCGACTGAGCCACCCAGGCGCCCCTTCAGCCCCATATTTTCAACTACCTACTATACTAGTACCACTCAGAGGGGGCAGGAAAAAAAAATCTTTACCATAATTTATTAAACTGATTAGCAGCATTATCATTCACTTAGCTGCCCAAAAAGAAACTTTAATCAGCTCTGATTTTTCTCTCTCTCATGCTCATGTTCTGTCATTTCCGAAGTCCCTCAACTCCAACAGGAAATTAACCTCAAATCCCCCATTCTGACCATTCCCAATGTCTTACTGCATAATCTCATCATATCTAATCTTCCTGCCTACAGTCTTTACTGGTTCTAAGAAACTTTCCATACGAATCTTGTAAGGTAATTCCAACTGCTGGATATCCTTCAACGTACATTACTGCCTATATGAAAATATTAAAAATTCTCCAGCGGCCACTAGGCAAAGAAGGTCTCCCATACTCTTAACCCTCCTGTCCCAGTCTCATCACCATGTCTTCCTATATACCTTAGCAACACTGCTCTGAATAATGTCTGCTAAACATGTTGCATATTTGAATGTTATTCTATCTTTGTTCACATTGCTCCTGTGGCCTAGCACCCTCCTTCTCACCATATTTTCCTAGTAAATGCCAATTCATTATTTCAGACCTAGCTCACATGTCATCTGTACCTTCAACTAAACATTTACCAAGGAATTTTTTTTTTGGTCCGGAACTCTAAGGTGGTTGCCTGTCAAGGCTTAAACTAATGAAGTCTTCTTTTCTTACCTTGTCAGACAATTCATTTTCCACATCTTTCTTGATTCTCCTCAGCATAAATGGCTTCAAGATCATGTGTAAGCGAGAGAGCTGATCTGAAATGCCAGGAGGCCACCAGACAAATACATTATATGGATTTAACAGAAACAAAAGAAATACCACAATCATCTCTCACTAAACTGTTCCTACACCTTTTAGCTTAAAGAAACTCTGAAAGGAGACTGAGACTTAATCTTTTCCCTAAGTGGGAAACCTAGGGGTCTGAATTTTCACAGCATCTGCCTATAGTCATTGGGGCAAATGCATTTTTCTACCATTTACTCAGACCAACAAGGAATACTTTATTTTTACTAGAATTCACCTTTAGAGTGTTTTAGGATCATTTTATCAGTAACAGAGTTCTCGTATAGGTCAAATGGAAGCTATCTGGGACTCCTAGTGTTTCCCCAAAATAACTTTTTCAAAGCATGTCAGCAAATTATCAAGTAGTAGTGTAAGAGATTACTTTAGGACTTCTCTATACTTGGTAGATTTCAGTTCATATCTATGTAATAAACACCTCATAACTCTCTTAAAAGGTATTATTCAACAAGATTAAAAGTATCGATAGATAAGGTTTAAAATGTTAACAGTAGAAACAAATCCTAACATAGAAAATAACAAAAATGACGCCTCTGTTTTTATTACAGGATAAAAGCCTTACCTCATTTCATAAAGAATATAATTCCGATATGAATTTTTCAGAATCTATATGGAAACTGAGGATTCTGTAAGCCAAAATGTGGTATTTTATGAACTCTGCCTGTTCTACCTAGTCAATAGGACAGCAGCCTCACCTGTATAACTTCTTTTGGCTCTTTTAAACATGAATAAAGCACATAATTAACTTATAAGAGAAAAAACTTTTCCTCAGATTCTTCTATGAATACTGAAAGAAAAATTCTTTGCATAGAAAAAAATATTCAATTATGTGGTTGCCTACACTGATAGAAAGAAAGAAAGTTCATAAAAGCACTCACTCTCATCAATGGCAGATTTGTTTTCGGCGTGGCTCTCAATGTCCTTGGAAAACCACTCATTAAATTCCTCATGTGAATCAAATAATGTTGGCATAATGAAATGTAGCAGGGCCCAGAGCTGGAAACAAAAGAAAAGTGAAATTAACTGTAGGACAACAAAATGACGGTGAAGATGTAATGAGGGTTTGGACACAGTGAAATCTGCAGAGGTGTGTGTGTGTGTGTGTGTGTGTGTGTGTGTGTCTAGGTGCAGGTGTAAGTGTGAGTCAGTGGGCAAGAAAGAAGGCATATGTATGCACATGCCTCATCAATCAACCCTAATTCTATAAGATGCTATAGCAAAATGAGATTTTTCAATTAATTTCATACTAAAAGTCTAAAAGTGCAAGTACTGCTCAGATCTTGTAGTGGGAAAGTTTTAAATAGTCTCATGTATTTAAAAAATCCACTTCACAACTGAACACAATCTGAGGTAGCATAACTTGCTTAAAATAACTCTTAATCAGGGGTCAGTAAAAAATGGCCTATGGTTCCAACGCTGTGCCAACCACATTTTTTTCCTGCCAACTATTTTTATAAAAAGTTTTAATGGGACATAGCCATACCTATTCATTTCTGTATCATCCATGGCTGTTTTCACATTATAATGGCAAGGTTAAGTAGTTGCAACAGCAACTATATGGCCTGTAAAGTTTAAAATATTTACTATCTGGCTCTTTACAAAAAGTTTTCTAACCCCTGTACTAGATAATCAATATACCTTTTCTAAATAAGGAATTTTAGTGCCTCTCAGTGCCAAAGAATATTAGCTTTTCAAATATTCTATCATAAAAACATCTCTACATTAGATGGGCTACATTCCTAATATGTTCATTATTCATTCCATAATTACAGAAGAATAAATTATCTGCCTCTGCCAGAGAATTAGAAAATAGGAATGATGCCAAAAAAACCCCACTTAGGGCAAGCAACAAATTCTTCCTTTTATGTAGGGATTATAATTTGTACAGAGCAGTAACACTCCAGGTGGGCATGGGAAAGAATTCTATTCTGTGCTTAGAACCATTCTGTTTATTGCAGACATAAAACTGAAGCTTCTACTAATGCCTACCTCTGCCATGGTGTTCTGAATTGGGGTCCCAGTTAGCAAAAGCCGATTCCGACACTGGAACTGCAAGAGGATCTTCCAACGAACACTGTCCAATAAAGTGAATTACAAATTCCAAGTGAGCGGTAAATCTTTCTTCACCCTACGAAGACCCTGTATTTCTAAAAATGCTTTCCAAAAAATTAGTGAACATCCAGAATAATCAAGCACTCAACCTTAGACAATACTAAAAAATATTATTCAACAAAGCTGAGGACAGGAAATAACTCCTGAATACTGAAAACATGGTATTAGGGTTTAGGAAAAATAGCCCTCAAATAGGCAGGGTAGGATCCTTTCTGGCTTGACAAAGTGCTCTACTATCTTTGGTCAGTTTGCTGACACAAGCCATTTACTTATAAGGTACTTATCTATAGTAAAAAGCTTTATAATTATTAATCTGTGCACTTACAGTGTCAGTTTAGAGAGATCAATGGAGAAAGGGGAAAGGTGTGAGAAGAAAATGCAAAATGAGTCTACTACTCCTGGCTGTTAAGCACATCCTACTTCAAAAGAGTGTAATATGAAGTAATGCCCATGAGAGAATGGAAAGTACCATCCTGTCAGTTAACATGGATTTCTAAGAAAGCCTTATGGGCTCACCAAGACTTAGTAAGTGCATGAAATGCAACATGTAATACCGCTTTAAAGTCAAGCACTGACTTACTATTCAGTTTTTGACTTTGAAGGTATTAAAGTATTTTTTTTTATTATTTAAAAAAATATTTTTAATGTTTATTTTTGGGGGGGGCGGGGAATAGCAGGGGAGGGGCAGAGAGAGACAGAGACACAGAATCCGAAGCAGGCTCCAGGCTCTGAGCTGTCAGCACAGAGCCCAATGCAGGGCTCGAACTCACGAGCTGTAAGATCATGACCTGATGCTTAGCAAACTGAGAAACCCAGGTACCCTTACAATGTTTTAAACACATAACTTCCAAGAAAAAGATTCTTGTGGCTCTAATAACCATCCAGGGACTAGGACAACCTGCATAAAACAGACAGAACCTAAGTCTACAAAATAAAATATTCTACTTCCTACTAAGACCACCTGTCTAAAATAATCCCTGAATCAAAGGGCAGACAAGACTTCTCCCACAAAAAAGTTCCTTTGAAGAGACACCTGGGTGGCTCAGTCAGTTAAGTGTCCAACTTCAGCTCAGGTAATGATCTCACTGTTCATGGGTTTGAGCCCCTCAATAGGCTCTGTGCTGATAGTGCAAAGCCTGCTTGGGATTCTTTCTCTCTTATTCTCTCTCTGCCCCTCCCTAACTCATGCTTTCCTTCTCTCTCAAAATAAATTAATAAACTTAAAAAAAAAGTTCCTTAAGAACAAAGACTTGTTAAGATATAGTAATTATTAAATAGAGAAATGGAAGAGAAATCCTTGTATTCTAAACATTAATATTTGCATCCCATGAAAAATGCCTTCTGGTCAGATACATGGCTTATGCAGAGACCATATCATGCCATGTTCTGAAACCTCTCCGTCCTTTATTCATCTGTATGTGTGTATATATCATATGTCTCTACCACATATCTATACATTTGTACGGCCTCAGTCTATAGAATTTGGTTTCTATTAATCATGTTACCTGGAACTACTCTTGAGTGCTTGAGCCTCATCCAATACCATGTACTGCCACTTGACCCGCTGGAAATACTTTACATCTTGCACCACCAGCTGGTAGCTGGTAATTACCACATGGAAAGGGGCATCCTGAGTGTAGAGGGTCTTCTGTAAATACAAGAAGCGAAGAATGAAAATAGATACCTAATAATTCATAAGATAATGAGAAATGGACACTAATTTTTAAGATTAAGAAGTTCAAAACAGTCCTAAAGACGTGCTTCTCCTACATGGTAGATGTGCAGTAAATGAAACCATAACTTTTTTAAGTACTCACCTTAATTACAGATCATGTTAAAATTAGTCTTCAGCTTACTAAAGAGTTCTTACTTAATCCTAGACTGCAAGTCCAGCTAATGGTCTATATAATGGGAAAAGTGTTGTAGAAGATAAAAAAGTACACTGGCTTAGTGCCTAGAATTATATGTAAGATTTTACACACAGGAAATTCCTCAGATCAATTGCAGAAACGACTGCATATGTATGTATATACGGGCGCATGTATGTATATATATAATAAGCTGAAAGTTACCTGACTCCAGAACCTCCTGATAACTTTTCTATCATGAGGATTTCCCCAGTATGGTAGCACCTGGAAAAAGGACCATTATACAGATTATTTCCTACTTATAATCTTAAAAGTATCGGCACAAATGTTAATTCAGAATGTTTTGTTTTTTTTTTTATTTTTACTTTTTAAAGTTTATTAAGTTTTGTCTACACCGAATGTTGGGTTCAAACTCATGACTCTAAGATCAAGAGTCTTATATTCTTCTGAATGAGCCAGCCGGGTGCTCCCAGATGATTTAAAAAGAACCTAAAGCAGATATCACCTCACGCCAGTCAGAGTGGCCAAAATGAACAAATCAGGAGACTATAGATGCTGGAGGATGTGGGGAAACGGGAACCCTCTTGCACTGTTGGTGGGAATGCAAACTGGTGCAGCCGCTCTGGAAAACAGTGTGGAGGTTCCTCAAAAAATTAAAAATACACCTACCCTATGACCCAGCAGTAGCACTGCTAGGAATTTACCCAAGGGATACAGGAGTATTGATGCATAGGGGCACTTGTACCCCAATGTTTATAGCAGCACTCTCAACAATAGCCAAATTATGGAAAGAGCCTAAATGTCCATCAACTGATGAATGGATAAAAAAAAATTGTGGTTTATATACACAATGGAGTACTACGTGGCAATGAGAAAGAATGAAATCTGGCCCTTTGTAGCAACGTGGATGGAACTGGAGAGTTTTATGCTAAGTGAAATAAGCCATACAGAGAAGACAGATACCATATGTTTTCACTCTTATGTGGATCCTGAGAAACTTAACAGAAACCCATGGGGAGGGAAAAAAAAAAAAAACAGGTTAGAGTGTGAGAGAGCCAAAGCATAAGAGACTCTTAAAAACTGAGAACAAACTGAGGGTTGATGGGGGGTGGGAGGCAGGGAGGGGTGGGTGATGGGTATTGAGGAGGGCACCTTTTGGGATGAGCATTGGGTGTTTTATGGAAACCAATCTGACAATAAATTTCATATACTGAAATAATAATAATAATAATAATAATAATAAATAAAAATAAAAAGAACCTAAAGAATGAATATAGGAGTTCCTCTTCTGTCACTGCCACTAGCCCTCTTCCTATAGACTGAATTAAAACACACATACAAAACATTGGTTTGAAGGCATGAGAAAGCTACTGAGGCAGTGGAGAATTATGGAGTCAAGATCCAGGAAACAAAGTCCAGAGAGGAAAGCCTAACACGTGGTATATGTCCTTCCAAAAGGTGCTGATCATTTCCAAAAGTTCCAGTTGTGAAGCTAAGAAATTAAACAGAATATTGTTTTAAGAGATACAGGGCCTACAGAACAAAAACTGTAGTTTAAGGAAGAAGGATTCTGATAACCACCCACCTCCCTGGCCTTAAGATAAGAATCACAGGATACATACCCATGGGTAGTAAAAGTCAATTAAATATAGACTTGCCTTAACAAGTACTGAATCCCAGCTATGAATCATCTCAATTCCTGACTAGCTTAAGGGGGGACTTTTGGATTGTTAGTGCCCCCCCCTCAATTACTAGTGGCAAAACAAACAAAACAAACACAAAATGCCCAACCCCAAACACCTATAAATCCACAATCTGAAAGAAGAAAACAGAGCCCACAATGACCTCTACAATCATTCCTATATATGTCTGGTATACAATAAAAACATAAACAAACAAAATTTACAAAATATACCCAGATATATAGAAAGATTAGACAATATGACTAAAAACCAGTATGAGAAACAGATACAAGAAATAAACACAGAGGAGATCCTGACAATGAAATGTCAAAAGAACACTTTTTAAAAAGATGCTAGGGGTGCCTGGGTGGCGCAGTCGGTTAAGCGTCCGACTTTAGCCAGGTCACGATCTCCCGGTCCGTGAGTTCGAGCCCCGCGTCGGGCTCTGGGCTGATGGCTCAGAGCCTGGAGCCTGTTTCTGATTCTGTGTCTCCCTCTCTCTCTGCCCCTCCCCCGTTCATGCTCTGTCTCTCTCTGTCCCAAAAAAATAAATAAACGTTAAAAAAAAAAAATTAAAAAAAAAAAAAAAGATGCTAATTTGTTCCTGGAATTAAAAGATAAGCTAGAGAATTTCAGTGGTGTATTAAAAATTATAAATACCAAAGAGAATTTCCCCAACTGGAAAATACAGTAACTAACACTAAGAATTCAATTATGGGTTTAATAAGATTAGATGCATCTAAGAGAGAATCAGTGAAATAGATGATAGGTCAGAAAGAAATATTTACACGAAAGCATGGAGAAAGAAAAGAATGGGAAATTCACTTTTTCTGTTGTATCTCTAGGTATAATTTCCTTTCAAAGTGCTTCTTGGACCTGTAGCTTGATGTTTATTGTTGTTTTGAAAACTTTTGGGGCGCCTGGGTGGCGCAGTCGGTTAAGCATCCGACTTCAGCCAGGTCACGATCTCACGGTCCGTGAGTTCGAGCCCCGCGTCGGGCTCTGGGCTGATGGCTCAGAGCCTGGAGCCTGTTTCCAATTCTGTGTCTCCCTCTCTCTCTGCCCCTCGCCTGTTCATGCTCTGTCTCTCTCTGTCCCAAAAATAAATAAACGTTGAAAAAAAAAAAATTAAAAAAAAAAGAAAACTTTCAGCCACAACGAAGTAAAAATATACAGGAAGAAATGAAGATCAACGAAAACACTGAATACGTGAGTAATATAAATAAATCTAAATAAATTTAAAATGTACAGATGATAATAAAATACTTGGTGGGGTTTGAAAGATAAAATATTTACAATAGCACGTAAGTCTAGAGAAGGGGAATGTAGTTAAAGTATACTAAAGCCCTTTTACTATCTGGAAAGCAGTAACAGTATTAATTTATACTACTTTTTAAAAAATCGGGACACCTGGGAGGCTCAGTTGGTTAAGCATCCGACTTGGGCTCAGGTCATTATCTCCCAGTTCGTGGGTTGAAGCCCCACGTCGGGCTCTGTGCTGACAGCTCAGAGCCTGGAGCCTGCTTCTGTGTCTCCCTCCTTCTCTGCACCTCCCCTGCTCATGCTCTGTCTCTGTCTCTCAGCAATAAATAAATGTTAAAAAAAAATTTTTTTTTTAATCAAGGATACATGTTCCTTGATTCCTGGGTATCTACTAAAGAATAAAATGAATATATAATTAGTATATTCCAAAAAGAAATTAGTAATTCCAAAAAGGAATGAGAAGAGTAGTAAAATATAATCAATCCAAAGGACACAAGAAAGAAGAAAAAGGAAAGTTGTAGAAGAAGAAAGAAAACAGTAAGGAAGATTTAAACTCCATGTATCAGTAACTACGTTAAAAGCATAAATGTTCCTGGGGCGCCTGGGTGGCGCAGTCGGTTAAGCGTCCGACTTCAGCCAGGTCACGATCTCGCGGTCCGTGAGTTCGAGCCCCGCGTCAGGCTCTAGGCTGATGGCTCGGAGCCTGGAGCCTGTTTCCGATTCTGTGTCTCCCTCTCTCTCTGCCCCTCCCCCGTTCATGCTCTGTCTCTCTCTGTCCCCAAAATAAATAAACGTTGAAAAAAAAAAAAAATTAAAAAAAAAAAAAAAAAAAAAAAAGCATAAATGTTCCAAATAAAGGCAGGAGAAAAAACCTTAAACAGAAACAGAATGGTTAAATGAAAAAGCGATACCATATACAAACCAGAAGAAAGCTGATCTATTTAATACCAGAAAGAGCAGATTTAAGGCAAAAAGTCTTAACAAGAGGGATTTCATAATAATAAAAGGTTCAATTCACCAGTAAGACAAAGTAACTGTAAACTTGTATACAACTCACAGTCTCAAAGTAAAGAAGCAAAATAGAACAGAAATGAAAAAATCCTTAATTGTGGCAAATTTTAACATACTTCTTTCAGTCAGTAATTGAAGAGGCAGACCAAAAAAATCAGTAAAGATACAGAAGAACTTAAAAAACCTAACCTAACCAACACACACAGAACACTGCACTCAACAACTGCACAATACTTATTATTTTCAAACAGATATAGGACATTTATAAACACTGACCATATGGTGGGAAAGGAAAGTTCAAAAGATTTCAATGGATCAAAATCACACAAAGCCTAATTTCTTACCACAGTGGGTTTAAACTGTAAATTAGTAACAAAAAGATATCTAGTAACAAAAAGATTCCTCTGTTTGGAAATTAAGAACCACACTTTAAAAAAACAATTTTGGGGGCGCCTGGGTGGCACAGTCGGTTAAGCGTCCGACTTCAACCAGGTCACGATCTCGCGGTCCGTGAGTTCGAGCCCCGCGTCGGGCTCTGGGCTGATGGCTCGGAGCCTGGAGCCTGTTTCCGATTCTGTGTCTCCCTTTCTCTCTGCCCCTCACCCGTTCATGCTCTGTCTCTCTCTGTCCCAAAAATAAATAAACGTTGAAAAAAAAATTAAAAAAAAAAAAAAATTTTAAAAAAAAATAAAAAAATAAATATTTTTTTTTATTTTTACTTTTGAGAAAGATAGAGACGGAGTGTAAGAAGGGGCAGGGGCAGATAGAGAGGGAGACAGAATCTGAAGCATGCTCCAAGCTCTGAGCTGTCAGCATAGAGCCTGATGCACAACTGGAACTCACAAACCACGAGATCATGACCTGAGTCGGATGCTTAACCAACTCAGCCGCCCAGACACCCCAAGAACTACTTTTAATTAAGCCATGAATCAAACAAAACTTGCAACATAAGCTAGAAATTATATTGAATTAAAGATTAATGAAAATGTGACACATCAAAACTATGGATAGATACAGTCATGCACAAGAAGATATTAATACCCTTATGGACACTTACTGGAAAAAGCTGAAAATCAAGCATCTAAGCTCCACTTAAGATGTTAGAAAAAGAAAAAAGTTCACAAAAAAGCAGACAAAAGTAATTTTTTAAAAAAGCAGAAATGAATGAAATAGAAACACACAAAATAGCCACTTTCAGGAATGAAAATGGTACATTATAGAAAAAACATAAATCATATTTCATGGGGAAAAAGAGGAAGTCTATGGTCATACTAGAATCTTAAAACAAGTGTTGCTCAGATACCTGTCACATAAAATAAACATTCAGATGCTATCATCATACACCTAAGTATCTTTTGAATGTAAACTAACTATAAACTTGAGTACAGTCTACATTTAACTATGTTCTGCAGGGAGGTGGACACATTTCTGGACAACCTAAAGGAGCAATGGAAATTGAAGCAATGAATCAATATAGAAGAGACCATCAAACCTTTTCTGTAAGCAAATAACAACTATATGTGTTTAAATTTCATATCCCATTTGTTATGAAATATTCTTTTTAAATCAACAGTTTAAAAACAGAAAAGCTATTTTTAGCTCGTAAGCTGAACAAAAACAACAAAATTAACAGGTGCCAGATTTCTCAATAAAATACAGAATGCGTTAGCAATTCCACTCCTAGATATATACTAAAAGAACTGAAAACAGGAGAGGTGTTCAAATAAGAACCTGTAGATGAGGGGCGCCTGGGTGGCTCAGTCGGTTAAGCGTCCGACTTCAGCTCAGGTCATGATCTCACAGTTCGTGAGTTTAAGCCCCACACTGGACTCTGCTGACAGCTTAGTCTGGAGCCTGCTTCAGATTCTGTGACTCTCTCTCCCTGACCCTCCTCTGCTTGCGCTATGGCTCTCTCTCTCAAAAATAAACATTAAAAGAAACAAAAAACAAAAAACAGCACACTTTACACCCAACATGGGGCTCAAACTCATGACCCTGAGATCCAGTTGGATGTTTAGCAACTGATTGAGCCAGGTGCACCCATATATGTGCATTTTATCACAATTTTTAAAAAATGAGACAAAAAAAAAACAGTGGCAACTAAAATAGGCCCAAAGGCTTATTCAAAAATAAGCTCAACATGAACATGAAAGCTCGGTTCCAGGCAGAGGCGTAAAATCAAAGGACAGGTATCAAATGACATAAGTAGTTTGACATTGCCATCTAATGGTCAGTAAAGTTAATACTGAAAACTTAAGTGGTTTGGTGGAAATTTTTTTTTTTTAATGTTTTTATTTATTTTTGAGACAGAGCATGAGCAGGGGAGGGGCAGAGAGAGGGAGACACAGAATC